CCATCTGCAGACCTGAGGGCAGGGATGAGCTCCTGAGTCCTTTTAGTACTTCGTATATAACCATATAGAATTTTCAGATGCTCCAACGAATTTCGGAGGATGTTTAGTTCAAACTTCTTTCGCAGCTTTGAGGCCTCACTTTTACAGACGTTTCGTTGCCGCTTATATTCCTGTAAGTGTTCGTCGAAGCCAATTAGTCTGTAACGCCTCCACAGACGATTCCTTTTTCTGAAAGAGGCCTTCAAGTCCAGGTTTATCCATTTTGGGCGGTTTGTGATTTCTTTGCTGAGAGGACAATTGGAATAAACAAGCTCTTTCAGTAAGGAACTGAAAGTATTCAAGTTGTCGTTTGCTCGACCATGCAGTTCAGTCTCCCACGATATAGCTGCCGCTTTCCTCCTCATGAGAGAATAGTCCCCTTTCCAAATGTTTCTCTCCCACCTCTCGGGTTGGACGGGTTTGGAAAACAGTGAGTACTCGAAGTAGAGCGTGATGTGGTCGCTTGACCCTAATGGCTGTCGGTCCTGCAGGTCTAACACATTTTCCTCCTCTCGGGTAAAAATAAGATAAAGGCAGTTCGACTGCTGCCCTTCCTGACCCGTGTTCCAAAGGTAACGTTCTGGCAGAGAAATTTGTCCGTTGCCCATTGTAGTAGTTTGTGATTAAAGCTGTCTTGCGGCCCTTGTGCAGTCCACGTTAGCCAATCAATGCCAGGAGCGTTAAAATCCCCAACGATAAGGACGTCTTTCTTCTCGCTAGCTTGGTACAGTTCGGATATGAGCATGAGATCTTGGTCAGAAGTATGGTTAGGTGAACGGTACACCACCGAAAGCCTCAATGATCGGACATTCTTAGTAGATATGGTAACTCTTAGCAGTTCCTCATCCCGTACCGGTCTGTGTACATCAGCCATAGCGCTTAGCTTGCAAGTGACATAAATTATGACTCCTCCTCCTCCTCGGCTTAGTCTATCTCTCCTGAATTGCTGATATACTCTGAGTGATATTTCTGAATCTGCGATATCTTCAGTAAGCCATGTTTCTGTGAATGCCATAATGTCTGGCTTAATTTCATCAACTAATTCCCTTAGTTCATCTAATTTGTTGAAGAGGCTTTGCACATTTGCGGATATAACCTTCAATGACTGATTCGGTGGAGAGGCCCGGCCTTCATTGTGACGGGTTTTGACCACAGGAAAGACCCCTTTGTCTGGACTATTTGTCCATTTTTGATCTTCAGCCCTTTCTCTCCTCTGCCAATTTTCTCCTTCAATGCTGATCTCAGTTCTCTCATTTTCAGTCTTTCCCTCGGTTCGTAGTCTGGTTGAAAAAACACTTCCTAAATTTTTTCAACAACTTACGAAAATGCGTAACAGGTCTTTAAGACCTAATTCCACGGAAGACGTTCAAATCGAGTGCCACTTCCACCGCTATCCCACACTTTCTTAAAAACAGGTTTAAAAATCTACAGAAGCACCTTAAAGATCCTTCTGTGAGCTCATTATCATTATCGTTGAAATATTTGAATTAGCTTCGAGAATGTGGCTCGCGCTAGATAGGGCATAGATAGTCTTTAGCTATTTATGACGTGTACGACTCTTAATCAGTTGCTCAGATCTTCCGTAAATTATCATCTGCTAAATCCCACCAAGTCATTCCGCTTTTCCTTAGTACCAACGATGCATTCATAACAGAGGAGTCAGACAAAGCTGAAATGTTAAATTCTTTCTTTGCCAAACATTTAGGCATTGAGACTGATCCAATCCCTTTAATTACTCCGTTGTCTGAGGCCTCCCACCTCACCATTAAATTATCTACTGGAACTATTCAAAAACTGATAAATCATTTTACTAACTCTCACTCAGTAGGTACGGACAATATCCCAAACTCCCTTATAAACCAGCTAAGAGATTCTCCTCCTCTCCTTAGAAAACCTTTTTCAATCTTTCTCACAAATAGCTTCTAGCCTGACTGTCGGAAAACTTCTATTATTATTTCGGTATTTAAGTCTGGCTCCGCATTTATCTGCATTTATCTGGATATTCTTAAGTAGTTAATGCCTATTTTTTACTTGAGACCGTTTTAAAAGTCGCCTTTATATATAAGGTAAAATTTTTTCCCAGTTTGTTTGACAGTCTGGCCGACAAGTCGTATTTTGTAAAAAATCCATTGCTGTGAATCCTTCCCCTACTACCGCTTTCAAGTTTCGCATTTAAAAAACAGTAATACTTGTATATGTATATGTATGTATATTGAAGGGTTACAGGCAGAGCCCTTGATGACCCTATTTATGTACAGTGCTTTCGCAGATTCATACTCAATAATAAAATAAATTTGCAGGCATTTAAAATGTGATTGGGTCACAGTTCAATCGGATGCGGACGATGCACTTATCACTGAGATAAAAGAAATTTGTCGAAGCAAACACATAATGCTACTTGGTGACTTTAACTGTCCAGACATAGATTGGCATTTGATGTATTGCACCCGATCAGAAAACTCCTTCGAACAGAA